GAAAGTGGCACGGCGTCTAGAAATGTGTGTTGGTTGTGTTGCATGTCACTGGATAAGGTTGCCATTGACAGTGTGTGTATTTTTCCCCACCATTATTTTTATGTTCCCTGCCACTGTAGGGAGATACGATACTTCTATGATACACTCTTGACGTACGTTTGGTTCTCATTCTATATAGAATAGAATATAAAAGGTGACTGAGCACCAATGCATATTTTGGACTTGTGATTAAATTATTTAAGATATGCTAACTACTCTTTTTTAATAGATGATGATCCTGAGTGAAGTTGTTGTAATCAACTTATTATGTATGTGTTACACTCCTAGTCTCTCCAAGCGGCCGGTCACATCAAAATGCTTTATATTGACTAGCAAACATGTCTGTGCATTGTAATGGAAGAAAAAGAATTCTCATGTCTTTAGCTGGCTAGCTTAATAAACATTGCTCGGGACCAATAATACCATCTTCACATTGGGCCGGCAATCCATCTATGTGACTCCTGAGGCCACATAGGGATCCCAATAGTCGTGCACGTCAGCATCCGATCAGCTCGTGTGGTTGCGTACCCTGTCAGTCAGGGAGCAATACATCTCACCCTGTGAGCATTCACGCAAATGGACTGTCAAAATTCTATAATTTTTGCTAGAAGGTCAATATAACCGTAATAGAAGACACCATGCACTTCATAATATTTTTTGCTACAACTATCATCAACATAAAAAAAGTCTACAGACTAAGGCATAGCCTAATGGTGGAAAAGAGCTGATGCCTTCCCACACATCCAGATTCAAGACATGATACTTGCAATTTAGGTTCTAATTAAGGTTGCCACCACAGCCTCAACCTTCCAGAGATTGAAGGAGGCAAACATCGCTGAGGCCTCCGCCGACAACTAGTGCTGTCGAGCTTGATCCTGTGTCATTTTGCTCATTGGTTGCGTTGGGGTAGGCTGCGCCTCGGTGCATAGTTTTTGATTGATTCTGCCCCATCACAAGCTACCTTTGGATCGATTGATTCCTTCCCGACGGAAGGCACTTAGCCATTTATCCATCCAACTGCATGTTTGCTCGCCCACAGTGATAGTCTGGACACTCCCAATGCTGTACTTTGTACGTACAACACCCCCTGCACCCTTATCAACGGCTCTGGCGCATCTGATCATGCATCGAAGCCCCGACTTGTCAATTTGTCATTGAGGGGTAAGTGGGGCTCGAGATGAGGACATGAAATGCGCATACAATAAGTGTAGTGATTGAGGAGGAGGGGGCGGAGGGTTCTTACCTCGTTGGTGGACGGGAGAAGAACTGAAACTGAAACCGATCAGGAAGTTGTGTACGACGGCGAGGCGACAAAGAA